GAAAAAAATATTTTTATCAAATGATACCAGTTTTATAATTTTTTTTTCAACGTTTATTTATTTTTGGGACAGAGAGAGACAGAGCATGAACAGGGGAGGGGCAGAGAGAGAGGGAGACACAGAATCGGAAACAGGCTCCAGGCTCTGAGCCATCAGCCCAGAGCCCGACACGGGGCTCGAACTCATGGACCGCGAGATTGTGACCTGGCTGAAGTCGGACGCTTAACCGACTGCGCCACCCAGGCGCCCCAAATGATACCAGTTTTAAATAGTGACACTAGCATGGAGGTTGGCAAACTATGGCCCACAGGCCAAATCTCGCCCATGTGTTTTTGTAAATCATTTTATTGGAACATAGCCACACCTGCCAATGTCCATATTGTCTACGGCTGCTTTAACAACTAAGGTGGAACTGAGTAGTTGTGAAAAAGATTGCATAGTCTGAAAAGGCAAAATATTTACTAGAAAAGCCTTTGCCAATCCCAGATCTAGAGCCATCTCCAGTCTATTCAGGGAGGACCAAGGCACGTTTGCTCACAAGTCCTCATGTATGAACAGGAAGTTGACAAAAGGAGTACAAATGGACAAGAAATACATGAAGAAGTATATGAGTTCATCACTCATCAAAGAGATGCAAATAAAAATGATGGAAATCAATATTTGGGCAGCTGTTAGGAGGTAGGCAGTATCCCAGGCATGCAGTCTACATTACCTCATTTAATACAAAGATCCTGGAGACGCAAGTTCTATTATTTCCATTTTATAGATACAGAAAACACAGTCCAGAGAAGCCAATTGGCAGGTAACGATTGGCAACAATCTTAAAAGGCCATGTTGGGAATGGCAAAAATAGCAAACAGTGTTGCCTGCCTGGCTCAGTCAGTAGAGCATGGGACTTTTGACCTGGGGGTTGTGAGTTGAAGCCCTACGTTGTGGGTAAAGTTTACTTAAGAAAAAAAAAAAAAAGAAAGAAGGGGCGGCTGCATGGCTCAGTCAGTTGAGCGTCCGGCTCTTGATTTCAGCTCAGGTCACGATCTCATGGTCTCGAGATCAAGCCCTACATCAGGCTCAGTGCTGACAGTGTGGAGCCTGTTTGGGATTCTCACTCTCCCTCTCTCTCTACCCCTCCCCACTCTCTCAGTCACTCTGGCTGTCTCAAAATAAGTAAACATTAAAAAAAAAAAAAAAAAAAA